GGCCCTCCGCGGATCGTTTCGCACAAAGTTGCCCCAAGTGCCCTCTTGAACCGACGACGACGAAGACGACGAAACGACGAAGACGAGGACGATGACGACGACGGCGCGCCCCAAGAGGCGACGACGACATTACGACGACGACGACGGCACGCCCCAACAGACCCCCCAAGACGCCCCCCAAACCCATTTTCCCAGAAGGCCTTCTGGGAACCCGATTCAAACGGCCTCCGTCCCTCTACGCAGCCATCTTCCCCAAAAGCCTTCCGTAATGCGGATTGACACGCATGGATCTCTCACTGCCCATAATGCGTTCAGCGTTATGGGCGCTTCTTCACTTCCGTTCAAACCATCTGTGGTCCATTACTTCAGTGGAACAGTGAACTCGTCAAGGCCTGGGGCCTGCTAGAACCTGAGAGCGCGCACGATGCGCGCGCGATGGTTCTAGTATGTGTGTGTGTGTGTGTGTGTGTGTGTGTGGGTGTCTGTGTGTTTGTCTTGCACTCCGTTATCTTTCACGTGCGTGCGTGCCGTCGTCGGAGTTTTTCCTTGCGTGCGACTGCCAAGTCCAGTCCACCCACCTCCTACGCCAGGTCGACATTCGCCTCAGCGTTTCCAGGCTGGTGCTTCGCGATAGTGTCGCCGCTTCGCTGCTGGAGGACAGGTGTGCGGAGCGCCCCATTCTGCCTCTAAGTCGGGCGTGTCCCTCTACAGGAGGAATATTCCCTAATCAGAGCTTGGGGTGCTAGCGGATTCATACGGCATATGGTTAAGTGAGGTTTGGCGCCGATTTCGGCAGCACGCCCGGGTGCCCGGGTGCCCTATAGCCCTATAGCCCTATAGCCTTACAGCCCTATAGCCCTACAGCCCTAGAACCCTAGAGCCCTAATAGCCCTATAGCCCTATAGCCCTATAGCCGTATAGCCCTATAGCCCTATAGCCCCATAGCCCTGTAGCCCTATGGCCCCATAGCCCTATAGCCCTATAGCCCTATAGCCCCATAGCCCTGTAGCCTTATAGCCCTATAGCCCTATAGCCCTATAGCCCTATAGCCCCATAGCCCTGTAGCCCTATAACCCTATAGCCCTGTAGCCCTATAGCCCTATAGCCCTGTAGCCCTGAAGCCCTGTAGCCCCAGAGCTTCATATCCCTATAGCCCTATAGCCCTACAGCCATATAGCCTTGAAAAATTCTAGACGCTTCGCGTATCCCCACCAGCCCGTCCAGAAACGACGCCCAGGCGAGTAGAGGGTCGTCCTGAGAGGCTTTTCGGCGTCTTGGGTGCCTCGGGGGGGCCTCTTTGGGCCGTTTGGGATCCTCTTGGGGGCCTCCTGGGGGCCTCTTGGGGCCATCTTGGGGCCATCTTGGGGCCTCTTGGTGCCTCCTGGGCGCTTCTTGGGGCCATCTTGGAGGAAATCGATCAAAGAAGAGGGGAGCTTCAATTAGTGCTGCCCCCTCTGGGGGCCAAAATGGGGCCAAAACCTTAGTAAAATCAGTGATTTTGGCTTCCTCGGCGAGGCCGTTTTGGACGCTCTGACCGCTCCCCGCCCCCCCTGTCCAGGTCAGTGGGGAGGGGGTAGGGGGAGGGGTAAACCCCTCCCCGAAGGGGAAGAAGGAGGGGTGGAAGAGGAAACGCTCCAAACCTCTGACGCCCAGAGGGCTAGTGGGATTCTGATTGGGGGTTTGTCCGGTATCAATCAAAAACAGAGCAAGTAGTGGTATGGCCATGCTTTTCCCCAATCAGAGCTTGCCTCAGTAGGGGTCCTAGCGGATTCATATGGTTAGGTGAGGTTTGGCGCCGATTTCGGCGGCACGCCCCGGTGCCCTGGTGCCCGGGTGCCCAGGTGCCCGGGTGCCCAGGTGCCCGGGTGCCCGGGTGCCCGGGTGCCCAGGTGCCTGGGTCCCCGGTAGTCCTATAGCTCTATAGCCCTGTAGCCCTAGAATCCAAAAGCCTTAATAGCCCTGTAGCCCTATAGCCCTAAAGCCCTATAACCCTATAGCCCTATAGCCCCATAGCCCTATAGTTTTATAGCCTTATAGACCTATAGCCCTGTAGCCCTATAGCCCTCTAGCCCTCTAGCTCCATAAACCTATAGCCCTATAGCCCCATAGCCCTATAGCCCTATAGCCCTATAGCCTTATAGCCCTATAGCCCTATAGCCCTATAGCCCTATAGCCCTAGAACCCTAGATCCCTATAGCCCTGTAGCCCTATAACCCTATAGGCCTATAGCCCTACAGCCCTATAGCCCTGTAGCCCTGTAGCCCCAGAGCTTCATAGCCCTAGAGCCATATAGCCCTATAGCCCGGCAGCCCTATAGCCCTGAAAAATTCTGAATGGGTTTTTGTCCTGTATCATTCAAAACTAGAGCAAGTAGTGGTACGGCAACGATTTTCCCCAATCAGAGCTTGCCTCTGTAGGTGAGGTTTGGCGCCGATTTCGGCGGCACGCCCCGGTGCCCGGGTGCCCGGATGCCCCGGTGCCCGGGTGCCCGGGTGCCCGGGTCCCCGGTAGTCCTATAGCAATATAGCCCTGTAGCCCTAGAATCCCAAAGCCTTAATAGCCCTGTAGCCCTACAGCCCTAAAGCCCTACAACCCTATAGCCCTATAGCTCCATAGCCCTATAGCTTTGTAGCCTTATAGACCGATAGCCCTGTAGCCCTATAGCCCTATAGCCCTCTAGCCCTCTAGCCCTATAACCCTAAAGCCCTATAGTCCCATAGCCCTATAGTCCTATAACCCTATAGCCTTATAGCCCTATAGCCCTATAGCCCCATAGCCACATAGCCTTAAACAGATTTTTTTTTTTTTTTTTTTTTGTTTCTGTGGTATCACTTGATATTTTTGGACTAAGTTTGAGCATTTTCGCGTTAGTTTTTGTTTTTCACCCAAATCCGCGTGTAGGGGGACATGCCCGACCTAAACCCAGTAGTCCGTTTCCGATGGATACACTCGTACCGTTGCGTTTTCCAAACATGACCGAGTGGTAGAGTTTGATGCGCCGTGGCTTTCGCAGCGATGGCTGTCGCGATGCGCCGCCGAACGCGCATTTTTGTCTGTGCCGTGTTGTGCCTTCCGCTCGCTGCCTCAGGTCACCTGTCCCTTGCCAGCGGCGTGCGACAGTGCCGCCTCCGAACCCCTTCCTCCCCCAGCGTGCCGCGCAAGTCCAAGACTTCTGCCACCCTGTCCCGCCTCCTCCCTTGCCCTCCATGATTTCCTGCCCCCTGTCATCCTCGTCGTCGTCCCATCCGCCGCTGTTCTCCGCAGCTGCCCCCTCCTCTCTGCCTGCCCCCTTCCCTCCCTTCTTCCGCCCCTCTACCTCCACTCTACCCTTCCACCCTTCCCCCGCACCTCCTCCTCCTCCCGTCCGCCATCTCCACCTCCACTGTGCGCAGTTCCTTCTTTGCTGACAGCTCATAACACGATACAGTGGTCCATTCGGGGGTTCCTGGCATGCTATGGCGCCCGGTGGCGAGCAGATAATCAGAGTGAGGGGGCCGAACCGAACGGTCATTCATTGTTCCTGGGTGCGTGGCTGAAGTTGAATTCCGCGATGCGGATTCTTGTTGTTTGTTTGTTTGTTTGTTTGTTTGTTTGTTTGTTTGTTGTTTGTTGTTTGCTGTTTGTTGTTTGTTGTTGTCGTCGTCCCACCCGCGACCCGCCCGCGATCCACCCCGCGACCCACCCGCGACCCACCCGCGACCCACCCCGCGACCCACCCCGCGACCCACCCCGCGACCCACCCGCGACCTTCCCGCGACCTACCCCGCGACCTACCCCGCGACCCGCCCGCGACCCACCCCGAGACCCCCCCGGCGACCCACCCACGACCCACCCCGCGACCCACCCGCGACCCACCGGCGACCCACCCCGCGACCCACCCGCGACCCACCCCGCGACCCACCCGCGACCCACCGCGACACCACCCGCGACCCACCCGCGACCCACCCCGCGACCCATCCAAAAGTTTGGGCGCCTTCGGCGGGTTTCTTTTGCATTCGTTCCAGGTGGAGAACCTGCGACCCACCCGCGACCCAAACCGCGCCCGCGACCCACCCGCGACCCACCTCGACCTACCTGTGATTTATTTTTTGACCCACCCCGCGACCCACCCAAAATTTTCGGCGCCTGCGGCGGGCTTCTTTTGCATTCGTTCCAGGTGGAGAACCTGCGACCCACCCGCGACCCAAACCGCGTTCAGTGTCCAAATCAAAATTTTTGGCGCCTGCGGCGGGCTGTTTTTGAATTCCTTCCGGGTGGAGGTGCAGACGCCCGCCCCCTCACTCTTATCCGCAATTGCGGGGTGCTACGTACAGAGACTAGCAGCGCATTAGAAAAGGATGGGTGGGAGGGGCAGGATGTCATATGTTGCGCGAGCGCACTGAGCTTGCCTTCCCTTCCTCTCTCCTCTCCTCCCCTCCCGTTTTCCCCTCCCCAGGCTGTCCGCCTAGCCCCCTGGGCTGCGTAGCCGACAGGGTCGTCGGATTTCCAAATGTTCCTGGCCGCTTACTGGTTGGCCGCATTGAGGGAAGTCCATACCTCGGGCTCCTAGGCTGGCGGGCGCGTGGACCATGGCGGGGTCCCCCTCTCTCTCTCTTCCCCCCCCTCCCGCTTGCCACACCTCCTTTCCCGCCTGACCCCCACCCCCCCTGCTTTCGGACGAGGCTTCCCCAGAGCGAACTGCACCACGACCCGTGCCCATCCGCTCGGACCTGCCCCACCGCGGGCACCGTCCCCCTCCCCGCTTTCCGCACTCTTGCCCCCCGCGCTCCCTCTGCTGCCCTGGCCTGCTCCTCCCCGCGCTTTCCGTCCTCCCTCCGCCCGTCGGCGCTCCTTTTCTGTGCCCCTCTCCGTCGTCTCTCCGCCGCGGAGGCCCGCTGCTCCCTTCTGCCGCCCCTGTTGCCGGTCCTCGCTGCCTTCCGTGGCTGCCCTTCCCTGTGCTCGTCGCGGTCCTGTTCGCCCCTCTCTCGCCGCTCCGGCCTCGCCCTCTCTCCCTCGCGGAGGCTACCTCCTGCACCACTTCTTCGTGCAGGCCGTGCAGCTCAACGTGCTGCTGTTCATCTTCAACGTCTTCTTCCCGATGTCCCTCCGCCCTGCTGGGCCACTGAGCCCCTCTGCCCACTGGCGGACGGAGGAAGAGGAGGGGGAGGGGGACGGGGACGGGGACGGGGATGAGGACGAGGGGGAGGAGGAGGAGAGGCGGGAGGGGGATGTTCCTGCGCCCCGTCTGCGCCCTCCCCCCAGAGGCGAGGTCCTCCACCTGGTCGGATGGAGTCGAACGGGGCTTTCCCCCCTGAGCGCAGGGCCGCCCTCCTCCTCCTCCTCCTCCTCCTCCTCCTCCTCCTCCTCCTCCTCCCTCCTCCTCCTCTCCTCCTCCTCCTCCCTCCTCCTCCTCTTCCCCCTCCTCCTCCTCTCCTTCCTCCTCCTCCTCCCCCTCTCCTCCTCATACTCCTCCCCACCCTACTCTCTCCTCCGCCCCCCCCGCACATCCTCCTCCTCCTCCTCCTCCTCCTCCTCCTCCTCCTCCTCCTCCTCCTTCCTCCTCCTACTCCTCCTCCTACCCCTGCCCCCCTCCTCCTCCTCACTCCTCCTCCTCCTCCTCCTCCTCCTCCACACTCCTCCTCCTCCTCCTCCTCCTCCTCCTCCTCCTCCTCCTCCTCCTCCTCCCGTTGCCCGCCGTGAGCAGGGAGAGGCGGGGCAGCAGGAGCAGGAGGGGCTCCAGGAGGGCAACGTGGCCCCTTCTTCGACCTCTCGCCCGAGCTGCCGGCGCCGCGGACCTGGAGCCTGGCGTGCCATCCATGACGCTCGCGGGTGAACATTCTCGACTAGATGTAAGAGGGACCTTTCGCCGGAGTGACCTGTGGTGCGGGCCCAGTGGGGCCCCCCGATCGCCGAACGCGACGCGACAGTAGCGTCTTGCGCGCCTGCGTTTGGTCCCCCCGCGGCCCCCAAAAAGCCGCGCACCAAAGGTCACTCTTACCCAGGGTCACTCCTGCGTGTAGCCGACACTCGCACCTGGGGAGATCACGGGGGACGAACACATCTCGAAGAACAGAGAAGAAGACACAAGCACAATTTCTCGCAGGTCCGCGCGGATCTCTTGGATCGGCGTTGGGCCGGAGGACCGTCAAAAGACTGCTCGGGGCAAAGGGCTTCGCTTTCTGAGGGCCCCGTAAGGATAGTAAAACCAAGACATTAGATGTCTGGGCCTCCATCCCATAAGTCCTCGCTGTCGCACCCCGCGACGGGTCGGTAGGCCAGCCGGGCGTTTCGCTTGAGATTTCTTCACCATCTATGACCCTGAAGCATGACATTCGCAAGAGGTTCACGGATGGGCGGCGGGCCGTCTTCAAGACGTGGCTCTCGCGTTCGCGCCGCGCACAATTGCCCCAGGAGTCTGCAGTCTGCAGGAGTTTCACGGATGGGGGGCGGGCCTTTGTGGCCTTCGCCTCGGTGCCGCGCACGGGTGCCTCCAGCAGTCTGCAAGGGTTCCACGGGTGGAGGGCGGCTCCTTTTGAAGATGCGGCTCTCGCCTGAGCGCCGCGCGCATTCGTCTTGGCAGTTTACAGCAGTTTCAAGCATATACTTCTGGGTAGCGTCCCAGACATGGTGTCTGGCACGATTCGGGACTGTCGGGGCGGGGCAGTCACGTTGATTCGCGGTGGTGACGTGCCCCAAATGGTCTTCTGGCACCATTCAGGAACGTCAGTTCGCAACATGGTTCTTTGGCACGGTTGGAGATTTCCAGACGATTATCTTCCAACGGGGCTCTCCGCAATGAAGCTGTAATTTTTCTAAGAGCTTATGACAAAGGAATCCGGAGGGAGGGTTGATTGCAGCATCGTTAATGAGTCTTGGGTTTGCATTGGTCCTCCTCGTCTTCCTCTTTTTCGGCTTCCCTTCTCGCGCCGAGGCTGAGCTTATCGGATGTCGGGTCCTGCAGAGGAGGAGGAGGCCTTGCGGGCTCGCTGACTGGTTTTGTTAGCATGTGAGTTTGTTGACCCTTCCGGTCGGTGTGGTGCTCTCCCTCCTCCTCCTCCTCCTCCTCCGTGGGAGGCCCGGGCAGCGGCCGAATATCGGCCGCGCTGTCAGGGCGCAGTTCTGGCAGGGAGCACTGCCACGCCAGCCTCCGCGGAGGGGCTCCCGGGCCACAGCGCCCGCGACTCGGCGGCAGGTACCCGATGGACGGGGCCAAGCTCATCGTCTGCTCGCTGCAGCTGTGCCCGCCCCGGGCCGCCGTTGGGGGGCTGGCCATCATAGGCGACTGGCCGAACGATTCCCCGTGCCGCGGAGGCCCTGACCTTCTTCTGACCTCCTCTGACCTCCTCGTTCCTCTTATGTTACATTTCCTTCCCCTGACCTCGGCCACATCTTGCTCGGATGCGTTCAATCTCTTTCCCTGTCGCGCCCCAAGGCATGTCCGTAGGGCGGCCAGGCGTTTCGCCTGAGACTTTCTCGCCATTTATGACCCTGAAGCTTGAATTTTGCAGCAGCTTCAGGGATGGTGGGGGTCGTTGTCAAAATGCGGCTCTCGCCTTTGCGCCGCGCATCTTTTTAAACATCTGCAGCAGTTTTCACGGATGGAGGGTGTGTGGTTTTTTTCAACATGGGGTTCTCGTGTTAGTGCCGCCCACATTTTGCACAGCTAGCAACAATCTAACATATGGAAGCGAGGTAGTTTTCAACATGTGATTGTCTCTTTAGCGTCGCGCGTATTGTTCGTAAACGTTTGCAACCATTCCACGGATAGAGGGCGGCTGCCGCTGGGCGGCTGCTTTTCAAAATGTGGTCCCTGCTTCAGCGCCGTGCGCATTTTTTGTTAACGTTTGCAGCAGTTTTACTAAATGGAGGGCAGGTGGTTTTCAACATTTTGCTCTCGCGTTAAGCGGTTCGCGCATTTTTTTGCAAGTTTGTAATCGTTTGAAGGATGGAAGGCAGGTTGTTTTCAAAAAGTGGCTCTCGCCACAATGCCGCGCAAACTTTCGAAAAGTTCGAAGGAATTTCACGGATGGATGGTGGTGTTCGTTGTCCACATGTGGTTCTTGTTTTAGCGCCGCGCGCATGTGTCCTCCACGCTTGCAACATGCTGACGGTTGGATATGGGGGTTGTTTTTTTCAACATGGCGTTTTCGCCACAAACCGCGCACATTTTTTTCACATGTTTGTGAATTAGTTTTGCAGGTGTAGGGCGTTTGTTTTCGTTTTTTTTTTTTTTGTTCCCCCTTTTTTGTTTTTGTTTTTGTTTTGCTAATTTAACTCAAAACGGGATGTCGCCTCAGCGCGGCGTGCGTTCGTTGTTTAATCCGTCGTTAAGTAAGGGGGCGGTGGGAGGATTGTTTTTTCAACAAATGCTTATTGCCTGGTCTGGCGTTGAGGTTGAGGACCCAGAACTTCAACGCACGCAGCGCTGCACACATTCGTTTTTATTCACATATAGGAAGAACTTATATAAACAATACAGCAGCAACAACAACAGCAAATAATCAACATTGTGCCTGACACTTCATCGTAGTTCATGGCCACACGCGTAATCTGGTACAGCAGTTCCCCTGATTGAATGGGCGCTTTCCTTTTTGAAAAGGGGATCTCGCTGGATACCTCGCTGAACGGTCGAAGGGGATATTTGTAAAGTCCCCATCTCTTCTGCTGTGCGTTCCGCCGCCTCTGGGCTCAAGCCTCAAGGTCAAAGCGACTGCAAAACAATTTGCGAAGCTCATTGCAAAACATCTTTCCCTTACGTCTGCTATCCTATTTACTCAGTATTTTGATTCACATTCTCATCGCTTGCTCTTCTCTGGGGCGCCTTCCTGCGCTCTAGCTCTGGTAGCGGAGCGGGAATAGAAAATATCCTGCTCCGTTGCCCGGCAGGGCATTGAAGAGTGTTTCTCCCGTCAATGCGAATATCCACGGGACTTCCCCTTTTGAAGGCCTTGCATGGGCTAGAAGGCTCGTCAGGGCAAACATATTCACCACAACAGTCATTCCGAGGAGTAGACGTGGGAACGAACGCACAGAGTTCTCGAAGTGGAGTACGAGCGGGCCTCGCGGACCTGCAGCTGCCCACCTTGGAAGCCTCACTGGGGGACTTGCCGCCGTCAGGTAAGACTGACTACGGGACTCGCGTTGGAGGAAGAGCCCGAGCTTTCACCTTTACCATCAAGGTCTGCGACGCCAGACTGGTCGCGGTCTCCGGCTCCATCGAAATTGGCTGTGTTCGCAACCGAGAGGAACGATGGCGTTTCCAGGCGCGCACAGCGTGAAGGGCAGACTGCCTCGCCTGTACGGCGCCCGGCCCTTGCACAACGGGCACGGAACAGCCGTGGCCACCACGGAGTCTCCCGCGTGGTAGTCTCCAGAGTTGGAAGCGGACCCAATCTACCCGTACAGCGGTTTAAGGAGGACCGAAGACTTGCGGAAGTGACAAGCAACCGCGAAGTTTGCAGCCGAACGACGAGGGCCACTCCTCTCGCTGGCGCTGGGAACAGCCGCGTGC